TGGGGCTGCGCTCATAGCACGTGCGCAGTGAAATAGGTTCGCGCAGCTTGGAAGAGTCCGGTGAATACTCGGTGAAGGCTTTGGTGTGAGCTATTTTCCTAATGGTTTGTTGATATCTCACAGGCGCGAGCTTATATGTTATGACAGTAAACTGTTTATATAATTTCATTTGTCTATTTCACCACACGTTCATCTTACCGAGTCAATTCTCTCAGTCTTGATACATAAAAGCAATGTCATTATTTAGCTGTTGACAGAATTTCTAACTGTGATATAGATATGTCGTTGTCACAGACAAAACTCAATGTCTTGTTTTATTGACACCTGTGTGTCTGCTCTCGCTCTCGTCTGCTAGTGAATATTCAATTCAATAACTAAGTTATCACTGACCTCATGCAATTTGAACTTAACACCAATCAGGCTATACACCATATGATGTTCTGTTGATTGCAAATGTTATACAACCATTATTGGCGGCTGAGTATATTTATTGATCGCCCATGAAGTGTTTAAAAGTTTAACATCACCAACGGTTCGATTTAACCATACCGAAACCGAATCCATGAGGAAAAAGGTTTCTTCATATGAGATGGCCATGCCACTTTACCAATGTCATCTATATGTACAAACATATTATAAGCAAGTTTGGGGATTCGGCGCTGGTGCATTCCCCAGAATATTTTAACCAGTATTTAACCAAGCAAACCAATTTCGGAGGTGATATATAATGGTATTGGCCACATTCGCCACAGACCATGAAGTTGTGTGTTGATTGGCCAACGCTTGGGAATTTTGTACATGCTAAGAGATGTAGCTTTCGAGACAATCGTAACGTTGGAATCCCCATACTTTTAATCCATAAACAAGATTGGTTGGATTTGGGCGTCAAATAGTTCAAAAACATATATACCGGCATGAAAGCCCCACTTCGCGAGATGGACATTAGATCATCTTTTGATGGTTTCGATTTGTCTCTTTGCCCACGAGTTGCTTTGCTGATGGCAATCCCACCACCGCGGTAAGCAAAATATATCTTGGTCTTCAGGTTTCTGTTTTTGGGATCCATTATAAGAATTTCATATTCATAGGTTACTCCTTTGTTCACAGCAAACCACTCAACCCCACTTCTGACCTGATACCAAGACAGGTATGCATCATGTTTTCTTATAATCGAACACAAACAATTCTGGAATACTTGTTTTCATTAACAGTATTTTCATCACTAGGTTGGTTGGTCTGTTACATTTCATAAGCACTACAAGCTCGTTCCAAGTCATGATTGAATTTATCTTAAAGACTCTAAGACGTTTATGTTCTTCCATACTAGTCATCCTTTAAAGATGTGAAATTTTGCCAAAAAACCTAAAAGAATTACATGGTTTCTCCTTATTTTTTTGTGCATTAACACATTTCATAAATGATGCTAACCAATTTTTTTCAATGATTGATCGGGTTGTAATGAACCAATCATCAATTATGAGATTTTAACCAATTCCCAGCACTAGTCAGGACAAAAATTCTGTAAGGCTCCAGAAGAATGTTATGTTTTGGACACCATTACTGGGACAATCCTTCATCCCAGAGCACTTTGGTCTCTGAGATGTGACTCACACAAACCTTGGGTTCAGGTGAGCTAAACACAGATGACAAAGCAAACTCAACACTAACACCTAAAATCACACAAAGCAAAGAAATGAACAAATCCCCTAAAACATAACAGACAAAATCAAACAAGAAACAAAAACAATTGAAACCATGCCAACATATCCCACACCTCATGTACACACACCATGTAAACAAAACGTGACTTACATGCAACATATACACCCATTTTTGTTTGTGTATGATAATTATATATAACAACATAAACATAATCGCGGATAGTTACAGGTACCAAAGAAATACTAATGATGATGCTAATTTAATATTGAATTGTCTGAACAAGATTATTGTGAGCATTTGGAATATTATATATTCTGCATCAAGAAGATAAAGGTAGAGTACTAAACTTTTGTAACAATCAAATTGTTTTGTTTTTTGTAACAACATTTGTTTTACCATGATATAACTATGATATTAAAAGACAAACATTTTACTGGTTTCTAGATTCCAACACTCCAGTGGAACTCCTCTCTTGTAATTAACAAAGATCTTCTATGTGTGATCCCGACAATGTCCGTCCTTCTCTCCCCGCCCCGACAACACAAACATGCCTTACAGATGTGACACCAACCCTACCCACGTAATCTAACACTGATTTTCTGTGTCTTATCTCAACAATGTCCGTCCTTCTGTCCATCTCTCCCCGCCCCGACAACACAAACATGCCTTACAGATGTGACACCAACCCTACCCACGTAATCTAACACTGATCTTCTGTGTCTTATCTCAACAATGTCCGTCCCTTCTGTCCATCTCTCCCCACCGACAACACAAACATGCCTTACAGATGTGACACCAACCCTACCCACGCAATCTAACACTGATCTTCTGTGTCTTATCTCAACAATGTCCGTCCTTCTGTCCATCTCTCCCCGCCCCGACAACACAAACATGCCTTTACAGATGTGACACCAACCCTACCCACATAATCTAACACTGATCTTCTGTGTCTTATCTCAACAATGTCCGTCCCTTCTGTCCATCTCTCCCCGCCCCGACAACACAAACATGCCTTTACAGATGTGACACCAACCCTACCCACGTAATCTAACACTGATCTTCTGTGTCTTATCTCCAACAATGTCCGTCCTTCTGTCCATCTCTCCCCACCCCGACAACACAAACATGCCTTTACAGATGTGACACCAACCCTACCCACGTAATCTAACACTGATCTTCTGTGTCTTATCTCAACAATGTCCGTCCCTTCTGTCCATCTCTCCCCGCACCGACAACACAAACATGCCTTACAGATGTGACACCAACCCTACCCACGTAATCTAACACTGATCTTCTGTGTCTTATCTCAACAATGTCCGCCCTTCTGTCCATCTCTCCCCACCGACAACACACAACACAAACATGCCCTTACAGATGTGACACCAACCCTACCCACGTAATCTAACACTGATCTTCTGTGTCTTATCTCAACAATGTCCGTCCCTTCTGTCCATCTCTCCCCACCTCGACCGAACACAAACATGCCTTTACAGATGTGACACCAACCCTACCCACATAATCTAACACTGATCTTCTGTGTCTTATCTCAACAATGTCCGTCCCTTCTGTCCATCTCTCCCCGCCCCGACAACACAAACATGCCTTACAGATGTGACACCAACCCTACCCACGTAATCTAACACTGATCTTCTGTGTCTTATCTCAACAATGTCCGTCCTTCTGTCCATCTCTCCCTGCACCCGACAACACAAACATGCCTTACAGATGTGACACCAACCAGGTATTTTCACAGAGGCTATGCTGATCTATGCTTTGTCTCTATCTGACAACACACATGAAGATCCGGTTAGAATTGATCTTCTGCAACCCATGCTTGTCGTAAAAAGTGACTAAAGGGGTCGGGTGGTCAGACTTGCTGACTTCGTCGAGTCACATGTCATCCGTATGCAAATTGCATAGATCAATGCTTATACTGATGATCCCAGGATTGTCTGGTCCAGACTGGTTTATTTACAGACTGCAGCCATATAGCTGGAATATTGCTGAGTGAAGCGTTAAACAACAAACAAACAAACTCTATCTGACCAAACAGGCATTAGAAAGCTTGCAGAGTAGCATGCTGTCCTTTAATGTCTACCACATTGATGGAAACCCCATTTGAATAAAAAACATTAGGTCACCCTCAGCATTTCAAAACTGAAATAGATAATCAGATAATAAATCTGACTTTCCTCAAGATGTGCATTAAAAGCAATCTCAGGATAAACATTTCCTAAAGCCGATGATCTGGTAAAACTTTTAGATGTTCCATACAAATCTTGGTGTCCGAGATGGTTAAATCCTTTTGGGCTGGTAACATTTTGAAGTTACCAGCCCTGATGTCTGGCTGGGTTTTTGGCTTATTTCATACACTGCTATCTGGCTTGTATTTGCCTATATAATGCTATGTTACTATCAGGTTACTATCAGGCTTGTATTTGCCTATATAATACTATGTTACTATCAGGTTACTATCTGGCTTGTATTTGCCTATATAATACTATATTACTATCAGGGTACTTCAGGTTCTATATCTCACTATACTGTCAGGCTACTATGAGTTACTATCTGTCTACTCTCAAACTAGTTTATACGACATCAGGCCACTGCTGGGCTATTATAGGTTACTGTCTAGCTAATGTCAGGTTGCTTCAACCTATGGGTGAGTAAGTATGGTTTTACGCCACTTTTAGCAATATTCCAGCAATATCACGGTTGGGGACACCAGAAATGGGCTTCACATATTGTACCCATGTGGGGATTCGAACCCAGGTCTTCGGCATGACGAGTGGACGCTTAACCACTAGTCTACCCCACCGCCCTGCTTAAACCTATGGACTTGCACTAGTCTCTAAGGTAATGATTAATAGTTTAAATGGTAATTCTAAAAAATATAAACATCCCTCAAACAGACTGTTGTTCTTAGATGTATTGTCCACTTATCTAGACTTGCCTCTTTAAAGGATAGAATTACTATATATCCATGGGCTCCGCATTCAGTACAGCATTGGAACAAGGCTATTAAACCTACTGAAGGCTATTTCAGGCTACTTCATGCCACGTTAGGCTACTGTCACTGTTTGCCTTCTCATCATACTGACAGATGGTATCAGCACAGTTATGAAATATATAAAAACATGGTCTGTGTATCAAATTCTGCCACATATTGCAGGCAGTTCGACAAACACTCCTGCCGCATAACATAGCAAGAACCTGTCAATATCTGGACTGTACCAGTCTTAAATCATCTCTTGTTAAACCCTGTGTCTGTATCAGCCTGGTGTTCAAAATGTTTCATCCGTGTTGCACCTCAGGAAGTTACTCCTTCGTCCACTCACCTTTTCTTGTCCAGTGAGAAACATTTTTCTTCCAACATTTCATTCCGATGCTTCTGGTATTCAAGCTCCTGGCGTAGTTTGTCGACAGATGACTTCTCACGGTAGTCACGAAGCTCGGTTTCTGGAGTTCAATAATAGATCCAGTTTAAACAATGACTGTCGGTTGTCCTCTACCACTATATTTTATCACTGGTGTCAGTAGTGAGTGAGTATAGTTTTACGCCACTTCTAGCAATATTCCAGCAATATCACAGCAGGGGGGTGGGCGGCACCACAAATGGGCTTTATAAGTAATAAAGGAAAAACACATCAGTGATCGACATTAGGTTAGTGATTTTGATTTTGACTTTCCGCTACACATAGTTGTGTGCTGTTCCATGGTGTTGTCCTAATGTAATTAAACTGCAGAGATCATTCATTTCCTAAAAAATTCAAACATGTGGATTGTTATTTAAAAAATACCTTTCAAGTACTTATTGAGGCAACAGATCTTAGGCTGCCATCAATGACTGCCATAGCGTATAACAAATCTTTACAAGCATGTTTTTTTTCAAATTCAGAAGTAGAAATTGAGAAGAACTTGTATTTGAAGGCAAGGTATTGAATAATGTTACATTTGTCGTTAGATCAAGACTCATGCACTTTGCTTATGCAGCTTTGCTTCAGGCAGCTAGATATTCGGTATGGTGCTGTTAGCGTAAGATGACACAAAATGATCAATCAAAGACACATGTCCTGACATTAAAGTCAGCTCTGATCACAAGTATACGACAAGTGAACATCTGACTTAGAATTGGTCTTCAGCAGTCCCATGCTTTTCATAAGAGGTGACTGACGGGATCGGGTGGTCAGGCTCGCTGAGTTGGTTAACACGTCATCGTATCCCAATTACGTAGATCGATGCTCATGATGTTGATCACTGGAATGTCTGGTCCACACTTGATTATTTACAGACTATCGACATATAGCTGAAATATTGCTGAGTGTGGTGTTAAACAACAAACAACAAACAAACAAACACAAGCATACATTACTGGAATCTGTTCAACTCTCGTACCCACGGGAACCATTGTTACCTTGCACAATGAATTGCCATACAATGCAGGTACACATCCTGATAACAGAACTGACAATTCCACTGATGAAACTCACGTAGTGTTTGGTTTTCTATCATGACAGCTACGAGCTGTTCCTGGAGCTGAGTGAGCTGACTCTCGAACACCGCCCGCTCTTCAGCATCCTTGAACCCTGCCACAATGTCGGAGGCCTCGGACCCTTGCGGGCTGTGTGAGCTGGCCGACTGGAAGGACATTCCGTCCTCCTCCTTGTCCGAATGAAGCACCTCAAATGTCTGAAACACAGAAGGAGGTAATCGTAAAGATTCTTGTGAGGTGAGAGAGTGAGAATGGTTTTTACGCCGCTTTTAGCAATATTCCAGCAATATCATGGCAAGGCACACCAGAAATGGGCTTCATACATTGTACCCATGTGTGGAATCGAACCTGGGTCTTTGGTGTGATCAACTAGGCTACCCCACCGCCAATTCTTATTGATACAAGAAATTCCTGTCTGCCATGAGGACCTGCAGACTTTACAAGTTGCAGGCCCTGACTAAACTCTTTGGATCATCATATAAAATAACCCTGCATATTGTGACAAATATATCTATCAACACATAAATTTATTGCAGGCCATAAGGATCCATACAAATCTGAACATACAGGTCCGCCACAAAATCCACCTGCCCCGGGCCAACAGGCAGAGACTTATGATAAATAATTGAGAGTGGACAAGACAATACAATTTATGTTTGTGGGTGTTTGTGTGTATGTGTATATGTGTGCATGACTGAATGTGTGTGCATATGTGTGTGCATCTGTTTGTGAGTGTGATGATGTTCCTGTGAATGTGTGTTTGTGAGTCTATGGTCCTGTGCATATGCATTTGCGCATGGTATATGTGAGCAGTAGGGTTTGTGCATGTTTGTCAGTATGTGCACATGTGTGAGTCTGTCAACTAGCCAACTTCAAATTGAGTCAATAGTAAACGGCTTCAGATTGAGTCAATCGGCTTTCCACTTGCAGAACTGGCATCAAGGGAAAACAACAACATGACAAATCCAGCCATTTTGGAAGGAAATGTCTGTTTTGAACTTTCTTATAGCTAACTAACAGAAAAATTAGTTGGGCTACCTCGATGTTATTTTCTCTGGCAGAAATGAAAATATACTATCCATGGTCTACTGAGCAAGCACTTGACACTGCTTGTGTATGGTATTATTATTGGGTCATTTTCAAGTTAACAGTTAAACTATCCCCAGGATTGAAAAATAAAGTAATCAAAAATATATATTTACAAAATATAAAAGCAAATCAAAATGGAAACCTTCTTTCAAAAATTCTAGATCCTCCTTGCATTGTTCATGCAGTTGGGTAGCCTTGTGGTTAAAATATTTTGCTTGTCACACTGAAGATCTGGGTTTCATTTCCTACATGCGTACAATGTGTGAAACTGTTTCTGGTGTCCCCTGCCGCGATATTGCTGGAATATTGCTGGAATATTGCTCAACGCGGCGTAACTCTATACTCGCTCACTCTGTATTGTATTGATTTTGTGAATTGAACCCTGACCTTCGACATGGAGAAGAAAAACCATTAACCACGAATCTGTTGCAGTGTTTCAAATGAATTATTAAACATACTGACTGACTGACTGATGATAAATAGAATCTCACCCTTGTGTCTACTGATATCAATTACATCAACACTCGATGATAAAGGTATAATATCCTCCGCAAGCCTCAGATATTTGTAACTTTATCAACTCGTGATGATATAATTCATATCAGTAGACACTTGGGTGCGATTCTCTATTTACATCCAGTGTTTAACTGAATCATGTAATGTTTTCAATATTTTCTCTCCTGACTTATCCCATTACTTCAACTTTTATCATTATTTTACCATACTACACACTCCTAACACCTATGCATTGCATACCAGTATAATACTGTGAGTGAGTGAGTTTGGTTTTACGCCGCTTTTAGCAATATTCCAGCAACATCACGACGGGGGACCCCAGAAATGGGCTTCACACATTGTACCCATGTGGGGATTCGAACCCGGGTCTTCGGCGTGACGAGCCAACGCTTTAACCACTAGGCTACCCCACCGCCCAATTATTAAATGTAAAACAGAGTTCAATGATGATGATGATGATGATGATGATGACGGATGATAGTGTTGGAGATCTCCATTAACCAATAACAACAATGTGTCACACATAATATGAGACTTGACTGTAAACACGCGTCACTGTAAGACAGAACAAACTACTGCTGCAATATCAACCTTTAGCCTTCATTAAGTACACTGCAGCTACACGCTGTCATGGGAAATGAATAAAACACGGATAAAGTTACATTGTTACATTAATGTAGCAAATCATGTTACCCTAGGCATTGAATAATGTATGCCAGCGTAGTACAACGTGTTCTTCCCAGTTGGTAAACACACTACAGATTACTGAGCAAGATAAACAGTGATACATAGATATAGTGTTCAGTGTTATTAAGCTGATATCATATCAAATATTGGGAAATATGATTGCCACATCAACCTACTCCACACTTCTCATGTTTGTGATAAAAGTGTTTGTCAGTCTTGTGATCAACTCGTAAGAGGCAACTAACGGGATCTGGTGGTCAGACACGATGACTTGGTTGACATGTCATCGGTTCCCAATTGCGTAGATTGATGCTCATGAGGTCAATCACTGGATTCTCAGGCCCAGACTCAAATATTTATCAACTGCCATCACACAGCTTGAACATTAAGTGTGGCCTTAAACATAAATAAATAAAAAATAAAAATAATAATAATAATAATAATAATAAAAATAATAATAATAAAAAATAACCTTTTCTCAAGTTTTACCCTATAATGATCATCATGACAATTTCTGTCAATATTTCAATGTTGACAATGTTCAATTTCATGAAATATCTTTTCACAAGATTGCTGGTAGTGTTATTCAACTAGATTAATCACATCATGCTACACAGGTTGTTTCAGTTAACCTCACTAAACATTCTTAGCACATTTCATTAAGAAAGGGTGAACCTTTAAACCAAGCTATCTATTTTCTGTCAGTTAATTTCCCTGGAGAAGATTTCTGACAGACTTACAAACACAGTGTCTGTGATGGTGGGGAGAGTTATTTATAGTTTTGTGCAATTTCAGCTTCAGTGCCGACAGTTTATTCAGGTGCTTATAACAGATACAGAGGTCTGATTCTGGCAACCATCATGTATGCTATCCATATCCTGTCATTTGGGTCACAACTGATAATACATTTATACATTGTAAACATTGTACACTGTAAACCATTCCTTGCCATTTCAGCAACAGGCTAGTCTGTCTCACAGTCCCTGAACTACATTATCAACCCTACAGCCAAGCCCTCCCTGCAATGCTAAAGTCCCACATGAAGCAAGTCTAGATATCCCCAGGTTCTGAATCTCTGTTCACCCTGGGGCTCCTTTTCAACTTCGTCTATTTGTTAAAATCAAAATTATATACTGAGAGAAACAAATAAGCGAACACAGGAAAATTCAAGTGTTCCTTTATTATTTTCTAGTCTTCATCACCAGCTTTGAATAGCGCTGTGGTGATGAAAACTGGAAAATAATAGAGGAACACTTGAATTTTCCTGTGATCCTTTACTTGTTTCTCTCCGTATATATAATTTCAGAGACTAAGTGTTAGTCTAGCAACGGGCCAGTCCAACATTTTCTTCTTGTAACAATTCTGTAAACTGTAAACATAATCAGGCTTCACTGCTATTTATATATATTTTACGTCACAAGTTATCCAGGTTTTACAATTGTAGGCCATTGTTAACATAAATATTTTATGGACATGTTTTTTTCCAACAGTACATAGAACTTATTCACAATGATTCAGCAAACAATATCATACAGATATCATAGTAAAGTGAAGAATTTCTTTTTTTAAAAGCTATTACCATGGTTACCATTATTTATCATTTTTTGTTTCCCTCACCCATAATTATTTACCTGTATCTAGATGTGGATAACGCTATACATAAACAGCCAGTTTGTTAGTTTCTAAGCCTCTAGGGTATCAACTGAAACTTCTCTCTATAGAGAAGTCATTGTTGTACACATGTTTTCAGAGTGTAAATAACACAAGGTTAGAACATGTTTTACTGTGGACATTGTCAAAACATGTTGGTTTGTCCACACCTCAGTACTTCAGACTAATTAAGAAGGTACATTTATTTCCATGCAAATGATTTTGTCCTCAAAAAGAATTCATTGAACTGACAGACTGACTGACTGAGTTTGGTTTTACGCCGCTTTTAGCAATATTCCAGCAACATCACGGCAGGGGACACCAGAAATGGGCTTCACACAGTAACCCATGTGGGGATTCGAACCCGGGTCTTCGACGTGACGAGCCAACGCTTTAACCACTAGGCTACCCCACCACCCCTAGAATTCATTTAATGGTTTAAAGATCTTTCATGTTTTGTTCCGATAATCCTCGTCAGTAGGTAGGAAAAATCTTATGCATTTAATATCCCAGGAAATTCTGGGTAGAATTATTCCATGAAAACATCATATACATCAGAACATGTATGCACGCTAAATACACACAAATGTTTTATTACAAATGTGCATGGCATTTTTTACTCCTCAAATGTAAGAAATTCTAACTGGATTCAATTCTTATAGTTATGTCAAAAAAATAATTATATTAATCATTAACACCAAAACTATTGTAGACAACAACATGAGATCAGCAACATCCTCTAGTACTATAATGCAGGATAAGCTCAACTTATTCTATGATCAGCAAGGTAAAAACAGGTATTAACAACAATGATTAGTAAGTAAGTAAGTACCTGGAGGACATACATCTGGGTCCCGTTCCTCAAAGCAATCGTAGCGCTACGACAGTCGTAAGTCTATGTTAAAGTATGGGAGTTACGATCACCTTAGCGGTATGATCACTTTGTGGAACGGGGCCCTGGAATATGTCATAAAACATAAAAATAAGCAAAACCATTAACAAAATATATACCCATTAATAAACATATACACCATTGTGAAACATCTGGAATACTGAGGCCCAAAAATAACACGTTACATACCCATAAATATTTTCATATGACGACACAGAGTTAAAGAAGCCCACATGGTCATCATCCAGAGTGGGCGTTATTGATCACTTATTCACAATTTCTTGTAACTCTCTATAAATACAGGATCAAGATTATCACACTAAGTTCATATTTATAAATATTTACAACATAGTTAAGGAAATAAAAGACACATTTTGAATATAAATTAAATATAACAAAATAGCGGGTTTGATGAAAAAATACTGTTTTGCACCCATTATGTTCACTGATACCTCAGTTGAACAGCATCATAAGCAGTTGTTTCCACAGTGACACACGATAAATATTTACAACATAGTTAAGGAAATAAAAGACACATTTTGAATATAAATTAAATATAACAAAATAGCGGGTTTGGTGAAAAAATACTGTTTTACACCCATTATGTTCACTGATACCTCAGTTGAACAGCATCATAAGCAGTTGTTTCCATAGTGACACACAACGTGATAGTATTAGATTTATACACCAGATGAATGATGAAAGGACATTTATCAGGGATGTACAAGGGTTTATCATGTATATTCAGTTCCAGTTTCAGTTAGCATAGGACATTGGGGTTCCAAGTTGGTGACTTCCCTTGATTTCCAAGAATTTTCCTGCTGACACTTCACTGTACATGCTCAGCAGCCTTGAGCAACATATAGGTGGTTATTTTACATTGACAGCTTGAAGCTTGAGACTGAGTGAGTGCATGAGTGAGTTAAGCTTTACGCCGCTTTTAGCAATATTCCAGCAATATTACAGCGGGGGACACCAGAAATGGGCTTCACACATTGTACCCATGTGGGGAATCAAACCCGGATCTTTGCTGGGACGAGCGAATGCTTTAACCACTAGGCTACCCCACTTCCCCTGAGTGAGTGAGTTTAGTTTTAGCAATATTCTCGCAATATCACAGCGGGAGACACCTGAAATGGGCTTCACACATTGTACACACATTGCACCCATGTGGGGGTATCAAACCCGGGTCTTAAACCCGGGTCTTTGGTGTGACGAACGAATGCTTTAACCACTAGGCTACCTCACCACCCCTGAAGCTTGAGAAAGATTATTACCAGAATTCTTTTGTTACACTAGACATGCACAATATATTATTTCTATTCGTATCAAGTGCAATATGTTACACCCTATTGTATGTGTATACATGTCAATATTTTGTATCCAATTGTGTATATGATGGATATTGTGTCTTCAATGATATTGATATGAGAGGCAACATTTGTATGTGTAATAATAGAACCCTATAATGTTGTAATCATTGAGTGATTCACATTTATATCTTCTTTGAGTATAGGTGAGGTGAAATTGGGTTTAACGTCGTGTTTGAGAATATTTCGCTCATATGACGACGTGCATGCATGTGTATGTGTATGTGCGGCTGCTTGTACTAGCCCAGACTTAAGCTGGTTTTATAGTGCTAGCCCACTGAGATACAATGCCGCAGTGAAGCATGAATACCCCACTCAGACACATTATACTGACTCCGAGCCGACCAGTCCTTGTTGTACCCATTAATGCTGAGCGTCAGGCAGGGACCAACAAGTACCATATTTTAACGTCTTTTGGTATGACGCGGTTGGGGATCGAACCCACGACCTTCCGCTCCCCGGGCGGACGCTCTAACCACTACACCACGGAGGCGGTCTCTTCTTTGAGTATATGTATATGTAAATGACTCTCCGCATGATATTTATTTTAAAAAATCATTACAAAAACGCTTTTGACATGAACGTGATGAAAATCACTAAATGTTTTATTGAATATTCCAACAATAAATTTAATGTAAAATTTCATGACTGCTTCCAGAATGATCTTCCAGCAAGTCCTGTTTTCTAGACAGTATGAATCATTTGAATAGCTTTCAGCTTGTATGCCAGTGGAATGGCAAAAATCATAATGGAATTTTCCAAAATAAATAGGAGGTGCCTAGCTAATAGAAACTTTGGAAAACATATTTTAACCAAATAAATACTCAATAAGATGTATATTTTCATCCTGTCAGCGATTAATTTATTTCTTCAAAATTTAACAGGACATGCACGCAGGAAATGATTGACATATGAACATGCTTTATGCATTGAAAATCTTAAATCAGTTTCTGAAGGCACAAATACATATCTTCATGAGTACCCTCAGGTCCACCTGATAGAAACTACATCTGATTCTATGACGTCCTCAAAAGATTATGTCATCAGATGTCACCCGATTCTGCTTACCTCTTCTCCATCTTTATGGTCAACAAGAGTCTTGGGACGTTTGCCTGACCCTTTCCGTACAAGTGTCCCCCCATCCTCTTCGGCTTTCACGTCCCCCTTGAAGCGAGATCTCAGGGCCTGGCGGAAACTCATGGTCTCCTGATCATGTGGACTTCACGTCCGCCATCGAGCAGGCCGCTCCCAAGGGTCATCCACTGTCTGAAATCATAATCACCCGGATTAGAGAAAGGACGATCACTTCACACTGACAAAATGTCATATTGATTAGAAATTGCGTTTGAGATTTACAGCACTTTATGAAGATAAACTGTAAAGTCATTTCCCGATCAATCTCAGATCAATAAAGTTCTGTTGCGAGGAAGGGTGTTGCTGGGGGAAAGATGCTGCCCGCGACAGTGGGGATCATCATGCGACATTCATCACAATCTGCACGCATTTGTTTCTCAACGATTAGCAAAAATTTCTTGATGTTGTCAATGGCAAGGCATAATTCCAAAAATATTTCTCCGAGGGACTTAACTGGGATGATGTTTGAAGAAGGAGATCAGAGGTGGTTAACAGCAATTTAAATGCATCTTTCTCCTCATGCATCTGTCTCTGATGCCGGTCTTATCTTTGTAGTGACCCAGTGTGTCACCGGTCACCATGAACTCTTGTGACAAAACAAAACCAGACTGGAAACAATCCATGCTTCAGATAGAAATTAAACAAAATATAAAATAAAACAGTGACATTTTTCACCTCTTCAGTGATGAGTGCCAAAACAAAAACTTAGGAATTTTTTTCAACAATGTTTAAGTTTTTTCTTATTGTTGCATTTTGTTACACTGCGAATAGTGGTGCCTCAGATGATGGGAATTCCTTCACATTCTAGCCAGTTTGAACTTTCATGACAATTGGATGAATTCTGGTTTGTCCAGGTTTTGTTTGTAGCTTTGAGTCTGCAGAAACTGTCATTAAAATTTCATGACATAGAATGAAAATTTTCCCTATTCATTTAAATATACATACGCATGAGCTCAGTTACGGCTTTGAGAGACAAAAGTCATCAGAAGATGACAAATCCCCCCAGCCCCCACATATTTGAAAGAACAAATCATCTGACAGTTACTTTAAGTCCAAATCATTTCCTTGGAAATAATGAAAAATTTAAATGCCAAAAATCTGCAAATAGCAAAAGGCATCACTTTAGGGTATGTCTCATATATCTGCCAAGTTCTGTTGAATGGGTTTCGAGTCGTGCTTCTGAAACGAAACCATACCCTGCCTTGAAAGATGTTGCAACTATGAGCACACCTTTCAGTCTCAATGAAACACATGTATAAGCTTAATCAATTCTGTTGAGCAGTTTTGTGGAGAAGTGGATAGACTCCTGAAACGAAACATAAAAACAAAATATAGGACCTAAATGAGTTTTGTGAAGTGGATTTTTTGAGGAGAAGTGGATAAGAAATTACACCCCTGTTGTATGGAGACCGAACTGGATGAATAGAGCCAATTCAAGTTCAAACATCTGTAGAAGTGACAAAATTAAGAAATTGGATGAACCTCCCTTTTTTGAGACTAAGTCCAACACATTTCCATGGAAATCATGAAAAATAAAAATGACAAAAATCTGTAAATAGCAAAAGGCACCACTTTAGGTTCTGTTTGATATATCTACCAATTTTGGTTGAAAAATATTGAACGGTTTTTGAGTTATACTCAGAAAACAAAATGATTACGGACGGACAGACAGACAGATGGACAAGGCATTGACTATATCCCCCCTCATTACATGCTGTGGTATAGTAACATGTATTTCACCTATAACAGGACCAATAAATATATAATGGCTTAAACACATGGTTTATATCATTGCATCAGATGCAATCTCAAATGCAATGCCAAAATACCTATGAATTAAAAAAATCACTTAAACAATAAACAATCTTTTCTAAATTTGAAACAAGGCAACTTAGTTTAGAATCCTGGCTAAGACCCTGTAAGAACAATTCTTTAGTCTGCATGCTATTTTGAGAGGAACAAAGCTGATTCTGAGTGGTTTACTTTCACCAAGTTTCAGTTCATGTAGTTCACACTGTGCTGTAAAACATACACTAACTTCCTTGATGACGTAGAGCATGTACCCAACAAACCTGTACTCAACAATCAAACCAAAGAATTTAATTGCGAGGTGAGGTAAAAAGTATAGTCTCTGTTCCCTATTGAAACACACCTACTGTTTGATATCAAACCTACATACATACTACTCACAGTAAGTTAGAGATCACACAATTCTCTTGTATTCAGTATGAAAGGATCAGGTGTTCCCTAACCTCTTTTGAGTATTACAATTACAAGGGAATAGCGGTGACGTTTTTGATAGTTAACATACTGGCTAACTGCTTCCTTAAAGAACCTTGATTGGTTAATTCCAGGCAATACAGTCATGAAACTTGTGGTTGATATGATGTGACACCATTCATATCTCACCAAGGTCTGAACCTACTGACTTGACTAGTAAAGTCTTCGCTACATGGAGTAATTCCTGATAGAAACTGCACTGCATTATGTTTATGACATGTAGTGTCTAAACATAATCATTTCCTAGGAATGTTGTTCTCTGACAATGTGTGAATTTTGATGTTCAGAAACTTGAGCTAGACTTTGACAATATCACAGCAGGCACAAACAATGGGGGTGTTGGATTTGAACCTAGGTCTCTTGCAAACATTAGGGGCTGTGAGGTAGCCTTGTGATTAATGTGTCTGCTTGTCACGCCGAAGACCCGGGTTCAATTCCCAACATGGGTACCATGTGTGAAGCCCATTACTGTTGTCCCCCGCCGAGATATTGCAGGAATATTGCTAAAAGCAGCATAAAACCGTACTTTCACTCACTCTTGCAAACATTGCAACAATGCCGCTCATTACTTGATGTTTGGTCGAAATAATGGGGCTTTGGCAACCTGACACAAGTCATGCTACTGTATGGATTGTATATATTCCATTTTGCATATTTCAATTTCATAAATAACAGACAGGTTCAAGTAATGAAGTTTTTAGAAAAATGTATATATTTGATTCTAGTGAAGATGAATAACAAACTGAATTCATGAATGTATCCCGTTCAATTCAATGAATATGCAAGTGAATTGTAGCAGCCCTTGTATACATAGAGGGCTGTACATCAGGGAGCATTATCTCCACTGCCTGTCACAGCCCTTTGAAGTGGGAGGAAGCGTTCCTTGGCAACAAAAACACAAGCCCATACAGTGTACTGTGTATCAATCCCAATAGAACAGCTATAAATAGGAAGACTAAAGTGAAACCCTTTTTGCAAGACTGATGCAGAAAAAGGACACAAAAGATAACCTATGTCAAACACAGATTACATTTTCAAACATGATACAGGAGTTATCATTTGTTTTATTATTTTTTTAAATTGATCCAAATAATGTAGTAATTGTCAAAAAGAGAGATCAATGGTAACAGATGGACACTGTTCCTAAACGTTTTGTTTTATTTGTTTTTTTGATGTTTAACACCGCTCTCACCAATATTCCAGCAAGCTCATCATCACAACCAGGAAGTGGTGGGGTAGCCATGTGGTTAAAGCGTTCACTCATCGACCCGAAGACCTGGGTTCAATTCCCAACATGGATACAATGTGTGAAGCTCATTTCCGTTATCCCCAGATGCTTTATTGCTGGAATATGGCTGAAAACGTCATAAAACCATACTCACTCACTCACTCACCAGGCAATCCAGTGATTGCTACAAACGGAATAAAACCATACTCACTCACTCACCAGGCAATCCAGTGATTGCTATTGTAAGCAGTGGTCCTCGTTATCTGGGTAAAATGACATAAAACAGATTAAGTCCCTGAACCCTATCAGTACGGACTCCTCCAGGGATTGATATCAAGATCGACCCAACCCATCGGGGTCACGTCAACATCATTCCTGAACTTGACTACCCAGATCCATGTAATCAACCAGTCACTACACTTCTTGTTGCAATCACACTGGTTGCTGGAGACACATCCTAACCTCAAATAACCCCCTTCAGGACTGGACAAAGAGAATGAAGTTGAAAACATCCTTAGGGACAGTTCCACATATATGGCTAGGTGGGGTGGGGGGGTGAATGAATGATGATTTTTATGGAGTAGCATGTACAATGTGAATGCCACCCCCCCAAAAAAAAAAAAATAATAATAATAAAAAAATAATAATTATGTACAAAGTAAGTGTCACCCCCTTCCCCCTCCCTTGCATGTCATGTACAATGATCAATGATCCCCCACTTCCAATCATTTTAAGCATAATTTCTTAATGTTTTCATGTACAAAACTGATGAATGCCCACTGACTCATCCCCATCCAATAAAAAAGTGCAGTTCCCCCTTAATTCATTATGAAACTGCGGAACATAAAACAAGACAAATAAAAACCTTGTGAAATAATTTGTTACCCATGATGACCGACAGATAACAACTCTAATATTTTCACATCTGCCATTTGGTAACTGATTCAAATGCTGCGAGGTCAAATGAAGACACTTCTTGGTTATCTCTAATTATGACTGCCTAAAATGTTTAAACAACTAGGTCATACCGATTGCCGGTTTATAAAATGAGCTGGTTCCCGTACACCCATTAAAGTTATGACATTTGAATCATACATCCGTGAAATCCATCCAGGAAATGGCAAATCACAATGGCTTCAAATACGATGGTATTTGTTGAATGTGATAGTATGTATCGTTCAAATCCGATGTGTTTCGTGAAAGTGAAGGCATAATTCAGTCATATCAGCTGGTGTGTGTTAAATGTGAAGGCTAGTTTTCTCAAAATCAGCGGGTCTGTGTGTCTATCATATATTAGCTTGCCCCATACTGGCGACTGAGGTCTGTAATAATCACACAGACACACTCAGTCTTACTTTACCTGCTGTGTCTGTCAAATTAACAAACCGGCCATCGATTTACTCAGAAGGGATGGCATCAATGTTTGTTATCTCGAACTAAGTCTGTGCCTGCAATGGCTTCATCAATTACATCCTCAGCTTAGTACTCTTATACCATGTGTCCTATGTCATTGCGTACCACAGAAAAGGAGTGAGTGAGTTTAGTTTTACGCCGCACTCAGCAATATTCCAGCTATATGGCTGCGGTCTGTAAATAATCGAGTCTGGACCAGACAATCTAGTGA